TGGCCTGTGACCACTCTGATATATAGGGGTCAGTTAAAAGTTGGGCCATTAGGCTAGCAGGGGGAGATCAAAAGTAAAGACGAATCCAATATTTGATCGTAATGATCCAAGCCCGAGATTCTACCAAGTGAAGACCCAGCTCCTTGTAAAGAGCAAAGAGTGACACTGAGTTGGAAACACCAAGAATCCTACGCAAAAAGCTGGAGTAAATGCTCTCAACTCTCTTATTGAAAGACTGGATCCAAACAGGGATCCCGTATAGCAGACGAGATATAACAATTGCTTGGAACATCTTAAGCGCAGCCGGTACAAATTGGTTGCCCTTTTGGAAAAAAAACCGAATTAGGGCTGCAGCCTTATTCTTAGCCATAGTCAGGGAGTGTTCTCTATGCGAGCACCAGCTTAAGTTGTATGAAAATAGCACTCCTAAGTACCGGAAGGATTTTACTTGCTGTATTTCTCTTCCCGCTATTGACCAGGTTGCCAAGCGTGGATATGAAAAACTCCCTAGTACCTGGCTCCCCCTCCCTCATTTGATCCTCACAACAATCCTGTGAGGCAGGGTAAGGCCGAGATAAAGGCTGACCCGAGGTTGCCCGGTTGGGTGCAGAGGAAATCTGATCTCGGCTGCAGGGTGCAGAGGAAATATGATCTAGTCCAATCTAAGAGAGCCAGTTTGGTGTAGTGGTTGGGAGTGGCAGACTCTAATCTGGGAGAACCGGGTTTGATTCCCCACGCCTCCGAATGCAGCTGCTGGTGTGACCTTGGGTCAGTCACAAGTTCTTTCGGAGCTGTTCTCCCAAGGGCAGTTTCTGTCAAGAGCTCTCTCAGCCCCACCTGCCTCACAGGGTGCCTGTTGTGGGGAGGGGAAGGGAAACGGAGTCTGTAAGCCGCTCTGAGACTCCTTCGGGTAGTGAAGGGCCATGGGGTAGAAATGCAATCTCTTCTTCTCTTCTTCTTCAAGCCTGAGCTCTCCCCTAGAAGCTAAAATGACTCAGCTGTGGAGGGTGTGGCACTTCACAACCCTCTGTGTGCAAGACCCAGGCAAGGTTGTCAAGGAGAGGACCCCCTGGAGGGCGTTCACTCAGAGGGTCGCCGCATCAGAAGCAACTCGACACAGCACTTCACAAGCGCACCCGTTCTCAAACCCTGTTCATATCCCCTAACCACTCTGCCGCCCTGCGTGCCCAGAGGCAGTGAGGCCAGCTTCCCACCCACCCGCCTCTGCTCCTCCCGCCCGCCCCCCACCCCACCCCAAGCCCCTCGGTGATCCAACATGCTTCCGTTCAAAAGGTCTGGCTTCCTTTTCCTTCCCACCGGACGGGGACCGTGCTATGAAGCTGCCTCCCCCAGCGGGGCCTGCAGGGCAGAGTGGGGCATGACCCCCCTCCCGGACGTTCTCGAGTGCCAGACCCCAGAGATCTGCACTGCAGCTCAGTCCTTCGTTTCTGCGGGACTCCTGCAGGAGGTTCCCCTGGCGAAAGGGTTCGATTTGTGTGGATTAGCTGGGCTGGATGTAGACTTCCCAGCTCCAGGTTGGGAGGGACCTGGAGATTTTGGAGGTGGAGCCTGTGGAGGGCGGGGTTTGGGGAGGGGAGGGACTTCGAGGGGACAGAGTGCCAAAGAGTCCACCTTCCAAAGTGGCCATTTTCTCCAGGTGACCCGGTTCCTATCACCTGGAGATCAATTGTGATAGTGGGAGATCTCCAGACCAGAGTTCCCTCTAAGCTGAGTTAGCGTGAGCTAGCTCACAGTTTTTTAGCCTCCAGCTCACCCATTTCTTTCTCGGCTCGGGAAGGATGTGGCTCCAGAGCAAACTGATTTATGCAGCAGCCCAATCGCTCGCTCACAGCTTTAATGCCGGTAGCTCACAAAGTAGAATTTCTGCTCACAAGACTCCACAGCTTAGAGGGAGCATTGCTCCAGACACCACCTGGAGGTTGGCGACCCTTGTTGGACGCCATTAGGATTTTCTGTTGTTTGTGTGCCCCCCCCCCCCGCCCCAAATGTCTTGGGCGATCCTGCCTCCTGCCTCCGTGTCTTCCTGCAGGAGCTCACTCAGTGGCCGCAGAGAAGAAAACGGAACAGGAAATGCCGTCATCCGTCCTGGCTGAGAGCCCTGCTGGGGTGGCCGTGAGCCAAGAAGCCAAACCAAACAAGCCACGCGGGATGTGTCGGGCGCTTGACCGTGCCGAGGGGGGCCCCCGGCCCCCCTGCAGCCAACGAGGAGGAGCAAATGGCATCTGTAAGCATCCCGTCCCTCCCGCCCGCCGATTACTCCAAGCGGATCGAGCCCCAAGGGATTCTGCCGCCTTGGACTCGGCGAGTGGGGTTGTCACGCAAGAGGGACAAAAATATCACTAGCCTAAATCAGGGGGGACAGCCATGCTGGTCTGAAGCAGCAGGACAAAGTCTGAGTCCAGTGGTACCCAGGCCCGTAGCTACTGTGGGGGCTCTCGGGGCCCAGCCCCCCAACTTCCCACCAAAGCCTCCCCCCACTTCTCATGCAACCCAGGCTCCCCCAACTTCCAATTTTTAATTTTTTTTAATGCTGCTTGTTGCTGGCCACGGCCGCTCCCTCTCGGTCCGATGCGTCCCCCGCTTCGCGCCCGAGTTGGCCCTTTGAGACCCCAGGCTGCTGGGCCTCTGTCTCCCACCCCCCAGGGCACCCGGCCTGCCTGCGCCAAGAAATTAAGTAAACCAAAGAGGGGCCACGGTTACAAGGAAATGTATCAGACAAACAAACACTGCGATAAAAACAACAATGACATTTCATAGATCTTAAAGGTAAAGATAAAGGTTCCCTTGCTTGAAAGCCAGTCGAGTCCGACTCTAGGGTTGCAGTGCTCATCTCCGTTTTCAAAGCCGAAGAGCCAGTGCTGTCCGAAGCCGTTTCCGTGGTCATGTGGCCGACATGACTAAACACCAAAGCGCACGGAACGCTGTGACCTTCCCACCGAAGTGGTACCTATTTATCTACTTGCAATTTCTTGCTCTCGAACTGCTAGGTTGCCAGGAGCTGGAACTAGAGACGGGAGCTCACTCCGTCTTGCGGCACCTGGATCTCGAACTGCTGAACTACTGACTTTCCACAGCCTGCAGTTCAGTGTCTTAACCACTTGAGCCACTGCAGCTCTCGCAGATCTTAGGAACATCAAATTATATTACAGCTGACACTTTTACATTATAACTAAGGAAATTCTGACATTCTCAAGGAAAAGTCCATCATCCTCACTGAGCACCCGGAAAAATTCCTCAGGAGTAACCCTACTGGATTGAAAAGTGTGTTAGCCTCTTGATACAGCTTAATGTCTTTTTTTACTTTCTTCGAATTATCTTCGAGTTCCATTTCAAGTGTTTCAGTTAGGAGCAATCCAGTTAATTTATTTCTAGTAGTGACAACCGGTCCTCTTTTCTATCCAGCTAGGAAGCCTTCTTCTTTTAAAAATTGCCTGGCAATTGCTCTCTATCCCAAGTGGCTGGCTCAACTGGCAGCTGGCACAGGATCCCCCCTCCCCCCCCTCCCAAGCCCTACCCTAAAGCCAAGTGGTTGCAGGGAAGGGCGGGCGCAGGGCTGCTCATTTGGGGGGGGTGTATGTGCAGGGGTGCCACCCAACTTATTGAAAGCCCCCCCCCCCCCCAATTAAAAAATCCAGGCTACTGGCCTGGTGGTACCTTTAAGGGTAGACCAAAGGATGTGGTTTATCGATCATATTCAGGCTATATAAAGAAAAATAATCTGCCTGGGGAAATTGTTATAAGATTCTTGAGAAGGCATGTGAGGGATGCAATCCTGAAAGCGGTTTCTGGAGTACCACTGAAAGTGGGGGGAAATACTATCAGAACACTAAAGGATATTTCATTTGAAGCAAGACAACGGAGAAAGAAGTACAAAGAGCTTGTGCTTTTCCTTCAGACAAACTCAATCGGAAATAAATGGCTATTTCCAGAAGGCGTCACTTTCAAGATTAGGGATAAAAAAGAAAAGATTGACTCTGTTCTGAAAGCCCAAGAATTTCTAAGGGTTCAGCTGGGAAGACCAGAGGACGGGAAAAAAGAAGAGGACAGCAAGTCTAGTGGCGAGCTGGACTCGGGTTCTTCTGGAGAGGACTCTCTGACGGAGCAAGGGGCAGCTGCCCCAAAAAGTCCTTATAAGCTGCAGAAAAGACGAGGAAAAGAGAAGTAAAGGCTGAAAGACTCTGAATTGTGCCTTTGAGAACTGTGAACGGGGATGACTGGGGGGTACTGTTCGTAGACAGTTAAGTCTTAAGAGTTAATGAAAAGGAAAAAGTACTTAAATGTCTGACTCAGTTTATATTGATCTAAATGAAGTGAAGACTTGATGTAATGAAGCTAGTGAGGATCTCCTCTCTTGGGTTTTTAGTCAGTAGTGGGTTTCTATAGTTTGTCCCGTATATGTAGTCCCCCTTCCCTTTTTCTGTGATAGTTTTTGTAGTTTGAAAAAAATAATAAAAAAAATCCCCTCCAGGGGCTCAAAAAAAAAAAAAAAGGGTAGACCAACAAAGTTTTATTCCGGGCATAAGTTTTCACGTGCACTTGGAAGTGTGCACGCACACAAAAGCTTACGCCAGGATTAAACGTTGTTGGTCTAGTTTAGTTTATTAATATTACAGTCTTCAGACCAGCATACAATATAAACATAATATGAGAAAGAAGGGGGGGGGAAACCCAGAGATAATATACAGAATAAAATCTAAATTCAAAAACTTTTAAAATGTGACTCCCGCAATCGAAGAATCAATGCACAGAACTCAGCGACTGAATGTGTAACCTCTACATTCTCATCTGATAGGATCCGGTGAAGCCTTGCTTCAGGTATCCTATCAACAAATGGGGTAATGATTTTAAGACGAGCCTCTCTGGAGAATGGGCAACTGACGTCATTGGTCTTAAAAGGTGCCACTGGACTCCACCTTTGTTCTATCACAAGCCTAAGACACTGTCGACGGTGCCAGAGAGCGTATGAGGGGCTCTCTTACCTTTGTTTAAGGAATGCAAGGCTGAAGCGAAGAACGTCAGGTAACCCGGGGGTTGAGGCGATGCGTTGAACTCAAAATATCCCAAGACTCCAGGCTGCAAAGACAAGACAGCATGTTAAGGGGGGCGGCAGAGAGCCAGCGCTGGAAACACAAACAGAAACCCAAGAGGCCTTGGCTGAATTCATGGACGGTGGCTTGCCCATTACAGTCTGGGGGCTTAAGTCCCAGTCGGATCCTCCAAAATGCCATTTACCTGCAGGCTGTTGACAACCAGGGCCAGGGCCTTCTCGGTGGTGGCTCCGTCCTGGTGGAACGAGCTCCCAGAAGAGATCAAGGCCCTGCGGAACCTCATACAGTTCCGCAGGGCCTGTAAAACGGAGCTCTTCCGCCAGGCTTTTTGGGAGCCGCCGCCACCTCTAACAACTAGGATAAGAGGCCCTGTTGCCCTGGAACTTATATTGACGGCCTGTGCCGGCCGCCTGAAAGACACCTGCGGAAGACCTACGAGCCGGTTATGGGAAGAGAGAGCCGACACGGTAGCCATCGCTGATTCGATAACAACAAAATTAGCACTTATTATGAAACTGTTACCTGGTCTTGGTATTGTTTTAAATGGTTCGATTGTTTTATCGTAATTGTACATTGATTTTATGCAAGCCGCCCTGAGCCAGCCTCGGCCGGGAGGGCGGGGTAGAAATTTGAAGAATAAATAAACAAACAAAATAAACGCAGCTGGCAGGGGGAAGAGATGGACCGGGCCTGGAGGAAAGGGTTCATGCTCCCTCTCCTTTTCCCTGACCAAAGCTTCCCCCGTCCCCGTCCTGGTTGGGAAAGAGCCTGGCACAAGAGAGAGACCCTTCTTTCTCCCCTACAGAGGTGTGGGGGGGGGGGAGATTTGTGAGCAGAGAATGCAGAAAAAGAATTAGATCCTCCTTTCCGAGGGCTGCAGCCTGCCCCACACCAGCCTCCCTTCCTTGCACCTGAAGTAAACGCCAGAGGATCCACTCATGCCCGTAGGTACCACCTGTAACTTGGCCCTTAGGCAGAGCAGCTTGCCCGAGCCAAGGAAACTGCCAACCTCCTGCCCGATTCCAAGGGTCCTGACTGCAGATGGGACTACCAGGCCCTGACTGAGACAGCCTACAGCATTTTATGTAGAAGCCAAAAACGAGAGATCACGGGAGGAAGTGGAAATCCTTAATTCCTGTAGTGTGTTTTTCAAATGTATGTTGCACCATTGTTATTATTATTTATTTTCCTTGTTTAGCTACTTCACTGTATATATGTTTTAATATTATATTATTATTAATTATTATTATTATTATTATTATTATTATTATTATTATTATTATTATTATATTAGATACCGGACAACAACGTTTTGAGGTTTGTTACAATGTAAGTTGTCCAAAGCTCTAAAAAGAAGCAGTTCTGAACATAATTACTTGAAAATATGCAAAATTTACATATGTTAAGATGTGTGTATTTAAGCATAATTTTACACTGTTCTCGATTTTACTGTTAACCTTTTGTCTAAAAACAATAAAAATCTTTAAATAAAAAAAGAAAGAAATACGAACACAACATCTGTGATGAAGATAACGAAGAGTCAATAAAGATATGTTTGCAAAATCATTTCCTGCACTGATTCGGTAGAAAACTCTCTGCTATTATCGCTCACACCCAACGAATACTGCGCAATATAAACAAATCCGTTTCACCTGAATCGCTCCATCTGAGCGTGGCGCAATCACAATCCTTATCAATTTCTACTTATCAACTCTTGAAGGAAACATCCCATGTGGACTCTCTAATAACGGAACCCCTCAAGGTCTTCCTACGGACCCCAGAAAGAGACGCAGCACCATGCCGTGCACCAGATGCAAAACAGAGCGGCGTTACCTCGTAACTGGAGAGAAACCGCTGCAGCCTGGACGGAGACGAGATGTACAGCAGTGGCCTCATCACCCGGCGGACAAATTTTTCAATGTAAACGGCATTCAGCGGCCCTTTGTATTCAATGGGCCCAAAGCTGGCATTAAAAAAAGAAGAGGAGAAAGCGTGTGTTAAAAGTCTGACAGTTAAACTGCGATTGCCTGCAAAGAAAGGTTTTTGAGATGACCAGCGGAGTGTGTCAGGACTGGACAGCCAGGTGCCAAAGTGGTTTTAATCTAAGTGAGCTCCCGGACGCCATCAGGGCCCTGCAGGACCTTTTACAGTTCCGCAGGGCCTGTAAAATGGAGCTCTTCTGCCAGTCCTTCGATTAGGGAGCCGCCTTTCTAATATTGAGGCCCTGGCCCCAATATCAACACCAACTTAATAATCAACAGCCTGGCAAAAAAGCAGACTATGGTGCTAGTTGACCACTCGGATACTGAGAGAATGCCGCCATCGCTTATGACTGTACCAGCACCTTATGACCAATGCTCCCTCTCAGCTGTGGAATCTCGTGAGCAAAAATTCTACTTCGTGACCTACTGGCATTCAAGTTGTGAGCAAGCGATTTGGCGACTGCATAAATTAGAAGAGATTGGATTTATACCCCATGGCCCTTCACTACCCGAAGGAGTCTCAGAGCGGCTTACAAACTCCTTGCCCCTTCCCCTCCCCACAACAGGCACCCTGTGAGGTCGGTGGGGCTGAGAGAGCTCTGACAGAAAATGCTGTTTTTCAAGAACAGCTTGTCAGAACTATGGTTTGCCCAAGGTCATCCAGCAGGTGCAAGTGGAGGAGGAGTGGGGAATCAAACCCGGCTCTCCCAGATTAGAGTCCGCGCACTTAACCACGACACCAAACTGGAGGAGGAGGAGGAGGAGATTGGATTTATACCCCACCCTTCACTACCCGAAGGAGTCTCAGAGCGGCTTACAAACTCCTTTCCCTTCCCCTCCCCACAACAGGCACCCTGTGAGGTTGGTGGGGCTGAGAGAGCTCTGGCAAAAACTGCTCTTTTTTAAGAACAGCTCTGCCAGAACTACGGCTTGCCCACGGTCATCCAGCTAGGTGCAAGTGAAGGAGTGGGGAATCAAACCCGGTTCTCCCAGATTACAGTCCACGCACTTCACCAGGACACCGAACTAGCTCTCAGTTTGCTCTGGAGCCCTTCTTCCTGAGCTGAGATGAAAATGTGTGAGCCGGAGGCTACTAAACTGTCAGCTAGCTCACACTAACTCAGCTTGGAGGGACCATTGCTCCTGAGCCTGCCTTGGCAGGGAGGGAGAGATACAAATTAAACAGACAAACAAACAAACAGCAAAAGCAGCGTCACAAGCACTACAGCTTGGGCAGCGGACCCATTCGAGGGGATACCAGGCAGGAGGGCTGGGCAGTTGTCCTGTGGGAGAAGGACCCATGGTCCGAACTCTGGGGTGCGCTGTGGCCGCTGATGCCCACAGGCAAAGTCACAGCAGCAGAGTCCACATTTTAGTCACTCTCTGTGTAAAGGAGTAAAGAAGCGACGAAAACTCAACCCGAGAAGCTACGTGAGTACAGCAGAAGAGGTCCTCCTATTGTACGTGGAGATCCAAGCCCGTCTTGCGAACAGCTTGCAAAGTCAGGCCTGAGCAGGACAGAACTGCCAACGGATAGCTGGCGGAGGAGCTCCGGTCCCGGGGGGGGGGGGGGAGGCCTCCCCAGGGCTGGCGTTCGGACAGCCTCTCCGAGGCACCTGCAGCCCTCTTACCTCCGATGGTACAGGTAGATCACCGGGAAGTGAAAGAAGTGTTTCTGCTTCCGGCACTTCCCCTGGTTCCACCAGCAATTGATGGCGACAAACAGCACCTGAAGCACAAAAGGAGACAGACGGAGTGAGCAGAAAGGGACTCGATAAGGTCAGTGAGCTTCAAAGAGGAGGAGCCGTGAACTGGTGGAGGGAAATCCTTCCAACTGCACGGCGTAAGCCCCTGGGGCCCCTTCCCTCGGTCCTAGTCACCACGAGGAGGCTGGAGAAGTGATCCATTCAAAACAAGCCACAATGCCCAAAACCTGACCCAGGAGGGGGCAACTTACCTTTTTGGTGCTGCCAGAGATGTTCATGCCCCCCTCTTCCCTCTCACATCACCTACTGCCCGGTCCTTTTAAATGGGGAATACCAGGGACCTCCTGCATGCCAAGCAGAGGCTCCGCCACTGAGCCACGGCCCCTCTTTACAGCCCTCCAGGGTCTCAGGTGGAGGTCTCTCCCATTACCTCCTGCCTGGTCCTTTTTAACTGAAGATACCGCTGGGGACTGAACCTGGGACCTCCTGCATGCCAAGCAGAGGCTCCGCCACTGAGCCACGGACCCTCTTTACAGCTCTCCAGGGTCTCAGGCGGAGGTCTTTCCCATCACCTCCTGCCTGGTCCTTTTAACTGGAGATGCCGGGGATTGAACCTGGGACCTTCTGCATGCCAAGCAGAGGCTCTGCCACTGAGCCACAGCCCCTCTTGACAGCTCTCCAGGGTCTCAGGCGGAGGCCTTTCTGATCACCTCCTGCCTGGTTCTTTTAATTGGAGATGCTGGGGATTGAACCTGGGACCTTCTATATACCAAACAGATGCTCTGCCACTGAGCCACGGCCCCACCCCTCAAAATGGGAGGCTGAATACATGGGGGTGGGATTGTGGGAGAAAAGGACTATATGCCAGGTAAGGCCATGCAGTGGGGAAGGCGCCTGAAAGGAAGTTTAACAAACACACCCGGGGCATTTGGTTTAATTCGCCAGGATGTACTGGTTGCATGCAGAAAAGCGGCGTCATTTCAGTCTGAAAACCGGCTCTCCAAAGTGCACCACCCTGAGAGCCAAACCAGGGCGGAGTGGAACCGGGGAACCGGAAACGCAGATCTGCACCCAGCTGACCTGGTCGGCCAAGCTGCTGGCCACTTTCTCGATGTCTTCCCGGGCGGCCAGGGACTGCCCGCACCACGGGGCGTAGAAGAAGAAGAGGGAGACTTCCGAGTCTCGGCGGACAAGCTCTGCGTGGTCCAGCTGCCCCAGGAAAAAATCGACGACTGGCGACGTCGAGGAGAAGAAGTTCACCGGAAGCTTCGCGGGCATGGTCACATCTTTTGCGCGGCTGCCGGGTTCAGAAAGGAGAAAGTTGTTTGTCAGGAATCATCCCTCCCCCCCAGGCCTCCTCCCCAAATGCCCAAATCTGCTGGTGCTTCGTGTGTTGTATATTTGTTTAGAAGAAACGGTGAATCTGAGCAATTTAGCTAAATAGAAATCTGATGGATTTCAACCATACTCTGCTTTAGAGGCCCAACAAGTGGGGTATAAATACGTCAAAGAAACAGATCTGGCAACACGGAAATCAACGCAACTTCCGTTTACATCACCTTCTTAGTTGGCTAATCCTATGAAGCTGTAGCAACCCGAGCTGCAGTGTTAGGAGAGTCAAGTAACGAATAAATATACACTGCAAGAACTTTTTGTAAATTAACATGTTCTGTTTATAACTATCATTCTATAGAGTGCATAGTGTGCTATTATGACATCCTTGTCAGGTACATCTATTCAGTACATTCAATATAACAGTAACATTCAGGTCATACAATTTCACAACTACCTGTCAATTTTGCATCAGTATTTTAAAAGTCAAACCCCCAACGGGAGTTTCCAGAATTACAAGCCCGCTTCTACTTGCATGAAGTCTTCAAAAAAAGGGGGGGGGGGAAGCTTTCATTTATAGTTGTGTTGATGCTTATTGCTGGTCCTACAATAGACTGTTTAAAAGACATAATTCATAAGTATAAAAATTATGCAATTTTTCTAGTATAGCTTGGCTTCATAAGTTTTCTTACCACATTGTGCAGCTAAGATTCATGGACTCCTGTCATTCTCAAGGCTGCATAGTACTGACCTTGTTCTCTGGTCATAAAATCTTTCGACACTTGCTAACAGTTATTGCCTGTGTTCTCTAATTAAAGAGACAGTGTCATTAATGCACATTCCACTTCTTAAAGTATACATAATGTATTTCAGTCCTGAGCAAGTCTGGTCTTTACTCTGATATTTAGAAGGGACATTCTCCCATTTTTAGGAGTCCAAGTTGGGGCGACTTTTAAAATACTGATGCAAAATTGATTCGTTACTTGATAATCCTATGAAGTGACAAACCATATATTCCTGGGTCTGCAACACACAAATCGGGTTTCTCCAGATCACAGCCCTTGTGAACTTTTACAAGAAGCCCAAGTCCACAACTTGCTTGGGTCCCATTTCTCTCAAGGGGACTCATACAGAATTCAGGGTTAGCTGGGGTTTGGTATCTGGAGGAACGGGCAAAAAAAGGATGTCGAGTCTTAGCAAACTGCAAGTCGCGCACTGTCTCTGAAGACAACAGGGTGTGTGGGTCACACATGCGTGCGCCACCCAAAGCCTGGCCTCATGGGAACTTAATGTTCTCATTAAGAGAGATGCACCGTTGTGTTGTGCTGTTTTTCCCCCAGGTTGCAACAGCCCCAAATCTCAAATGGCTTCGCCGTCAGAGTGGCATCGTAACACTTAATGACTGTTATTGTGAAGGTCACCCCTCCTGGCGTGTTGTGCTTACGGTCTGCATGTCTATCCATGCCCATCACGTTGCCTGCTTTCCAAATTCATTTCAAAGAACTTTCAGAGGGCCAGTGAGGGATGCCAGCCTCCAGGTGGGGCCTGGGGATCCCCCGGAATTACAGGTCATGTCCAGACTACAACAATTAGTCCCCCTGGAGAAAATGGGGTGGAGGATGGACGCTACGGCATTGTACCCCGCTGAGGTCCCTGCAGGGTGGACGCTACGGCATTGTACCCCGCTGAGGTGGTCCCTGTCCTCCCCAGACTCCATCCCCAAACCTCCAGGTGTTCGCCAACCTGAATTTGGCAACTCTATCCCCCTCCATGCCGGGGGGGGGGGGGGAAACACCTGGCAACCAACCCCAGTTCTCAGCCAAGTGTATGAGATGCCCAGGTGCAAACGGGTCAGTTGGTCACATTCACACAGTACATTTTCACCCCGTTAAGTCCCTTCACAAATATGCCTTGATTGCTCAGAAGGTTGTTTTTATAAAGGGAACAGGGTTGTAGGAAATGGAGCTAGTCAGGAGGGAGCTTTCCTAACGGGAACATGCTGTTAAATTTACGGCACCGTTTATTGTAGGAGTTCTCTTGTTTGTTACCGCTGTTGCTTTTCTAAGTCTGGTAATCCACCTGTACCTTATACCAGGCTTTATTTACGGCCCTGTTTTTCTCATTTTGCGATCTGCCTCCAGTTTCAGCAAGAAAAGGGGGCTCAAGATAAGATAAATACAGACATAAATAGCAGATGTCTGGAATAACCCCGAGTGACACTTACAAGCCATCCCCACAGCACCCATTTGGTGGGCACGCGAGAGAAGCAGCGAGTACGAGATGCGCCGCAGGGCTGATTTTGGAAACATGTGATAGGGAAAATGCAAGGAAATGGCTTTGTGTGTAACTGAAGGGACGCTTTCAAACAGCACAGAAGCCCTGAAACATTACGAATATGGGACACAGACGCCGTTGGGGAAAACACTCGCTAGAGGCCTGGAAGAGCAACCAATTAAGAGTGCAATCCTGCACAGAGTTCGACCTTTCTATGGCCACTGAAGTCAATGAGTTTGGAAAGGTGTCACTCCGTTTAGGATTGCACTGTAAGGAAACTGGGTCTCCACTATCAGTGCATACGGTTGCCAGCTCTCAAATGGGAATTACCTGGAGATTTTGGAAGATGGAGCTGAGGAAGGCAGGATTTGGGGTGGGGAGGGACCTCGGCGGGGCATAATGCCACAGAGTCCCCCTTTCAACGTGGACTGATCTCTGTCATTTGGAGATCACTTGTAATCCTGGGAGATCTCCAAGCCCTTCCTTGCAACTCATCAAACCTACCTCCTCAGGGCATGCTTTAGGGACCCCCCCCCCCAAGATGTTCCCCTGCATTCCTCTGCTGTTCAAAAGAGATTGATCAATTGTATCACACCTGCACTCTGCATCTCCTCTTCACTACGGTTGCCTGCAGAAGGCGGCCACTTGGCTACCTTGCAGGACTGCTACCCTGAGGGAAAGATCCAACATCCCTGCTTCCCACCCCAGCCCAAAATTAGGGTTGCCGTCAAGGCTCCCTCTAAGCTGTGGAGTCTCGTGAGCAAAAATTCTACTTGGGTGAGCTCCTGGCATTAAAGTTGTGAGCGAGTGATTTGGCAACACTGCATCAATTGGTTTGCTCTGGAGCCACCTCCTTCCTGAGCGGAGACAAAAATGTGTGAGCCAGAGGCTAAAAAACAGTGAGCCGGCTCACACACAGCTTAGAGGGAACACTGGCTACCATCCTCCAGGTGGGGCCTGGAGATCTCCCGGAATTGCAAATGGACCTCCAGACGACAGTGGTCAGTTCCTCTGGAGAAAAAGAGTTGCTTTGGAGGACGGACTCCATGACACGAAGCTCTTCTGATGCCACACCTTTGCACACCGTTCTGCCCCACTGCACGGCTTCTCAGACAACCTCCTCGGGGTCATGCACATGGGGTGTGTGTGTGTGTGTCTACAATTAGCAAAACCTCCTTTCCCGTCATGTAACTCTGTAACAATAGAAACCTCTAACCAGAGACATGGACACTAAACGTGGCAGCCCTACGCAGTTACTTGAGTTTTGACCCCCACTGAAAATCCCCCAGCCTCCACCCCCCAATCTCCAGGGATTTCCCAACCTGTAGCTGACAGGCCTCCTGGCACGTGTGAAAAGACCCATGCATGACACCAAGGATTGCCAGGTGTCTGCCCCTGCCCCCCCGCCACCAGTGGGGATGAGGGTACATGGCTGCCAGATCCAGGCTGGGAAACTCCATATTTGGGGATGGAGCCGGGGGGGGGGGACAGGGACCCCTCAGTGGGGTAAGTAAAGGCAAAGGTTCCCCCTGCTCGAAAGCCAGTCGAATCCGACTCTAGGGGGTGGTGCTCATCTCCGTTTCCAAGCCGAAGAGCCAGCGCTGTCTGAAGACTTTTTCCGTGGTCATGTGGCCAGCATGACTAGACGCCGAGGTGCATGGAACACTATCACCTTCCCACCGAAGTGGTACCTATTTAAGGTAAAGGTTCCCTTGTTCGAAAGCCAGTCGAATCCGACTCTAGGGTTGCGGTGCTCATCTCCGTTTCAAAGCCGAAGAGCCAGCGCTGTCCGAAGACATTTCCGTGGTCATGTGGCCGGCATGACTAAGCACCAAGGCGCACGGAACGCTGTTCCCTTCCCACCGAAGTGGTGCCTATTTATCTACTTGCAATTTCTTGCTTTCAAACTGCTGGGTTGGCAGGAGCTGGAACTAGAGACGGGAGATCACTCCGTCATGCGGCACACTCGGGTCTCAAACTACTGAACTACTGACCTTTCACAGCCTGCAGGTCAGCATCTTAACCACTTGAGCCACCGCAGCTCCTGTACCTATTTATCTACTTGCAATTTCTTGCTTTCGAGCTGCTGGGTTGGAAGGAGCTGGGGCCAGAGACAGTCACGCGGCACTCGGGTCTCGAACTGCTGAACTACCGACCTTCCGGTCTGCAGCTCAGCGTCTTAACCTCTGAGCCACCATGGTACAGGGCCCTAAAGTCCCCCGCCCTCCAAAGCATCCATTTTTCTCCAGGGGGAACTCACCTCTGTAGTCTGAAGAGGAGCTGTAAGCAGGGATGCCAGTCTCCAGGTGGGACCTGGGGATTCCCTGGGGTTACAGCTCATCTCCGGACTACAGAGATCAGCTCCCCCTGGAAAAAATGGCTGCTTTGGAGGGTGGGCCCTGCGGCCTTGTCCCCACCACTGAGGTGGTCCCTCCTCTACCCAGGCCCCGTCCACAAATCTCCAGGAGTTTCCCGGCATGGGGCTGGCAGCACTTAAGCCCCCATTCCCTGCTGCTAGCAAGGGGGGACCTGGAAGCCCTCAATCTGGGGGATCCCCAGGCCCCACCTGGAGGCCGGCATCCTGAAGAGTCCCCAAGCCTTCCTGGCACGTGTGAAAAGACCTGTGCATGACGCTGAGGAGGCACCCCCCTGGCCAGGAAAAAGAGCGCTCCAAACATACCTCCCCCCAGCAACCCCACTC